CACACACCCCTAGCCCATATTCCCCCCCCCCATTCTTGATCGCTCCCCCCAGCCCCTTCCCTTCATCTGTGTGTGTGTCTGTGTGTGGGGGGGGGGATACCTTTCATTTTAATCACAGATTTGGGGGGTTTTATCAGAGAATTTGTGGTGTTTTTTAATCGGCGGAAAACCAGGATCCTTGCTGATCAGCGCACCTAAATCTACAAATTAAAATTTGTTACTGAATTGAGAGATGCAAAATTGGTTAAAAAAATTAGTTTCCAGTTTTGTCATAAAACTAATTACAAAATACTGGCATATCTTTAAAGTACTATGCTGACATAAATCACTTAATATCAGTATTCCATTTTCTGGCTTCACACAGAACATTAAGGTGACATTTGTTCAAAGTCTAATACAGGAATGTTTGTTAATAGAGTTTGTGAAAATCCTATGGGTAACTTTCCTGTTCATGCTAGAAACCAGGGTTTCCCAAAAGTGAACAACAGTGCAATGCAAGTTCTGCTGCTGAAGCAGGAAGGAAAACATTTTTTAGCAAGTTTTAAGTGTGCAGGGAAGACCCTTAGAACTTGAAGCAGAAATCAGGTTGTGTTTCCTACTAGAGGTGCACTGATACATTGGTCCATATCATATCAGTGCCAGTAAAAGGAAAACTGACAATATTGACAATAAATGCTGTTTGCATTTGCAGTTGCACATGCACACAGCCAGCCTAGAGCTTGGAGAGAAGCATCTGGCTGGTAAGTCTGTTGGGGAAGGGTTGGAGGGAGGGAAGGCAGGGGGGGAGCAATCAAAGTCCCTGCGGTGTGGGGCTGGGCGTGGGATGGAGCTGTGAGCGGCTCAGGTGGGGGGCGGTTCCTGCTGCTGTGCCCACCCCGGGGGAGCCATGGGGGGCATGTACCCCCAGATCTGTGCATGGGGCCAGGGCAGACTGCTGGGGCTGGGGGCGGCACTGGGTTCTTCCTAGTTGGGCTGGGGCTGTGCTCAAGGCGGGTGGCAGTAGCAGCACTGGGAGGAGGGGCTCTGGAATGGTAGCCCCCCTTCCAGCGTCGCCATTGCCCACTCCAAGTACAGCTCTGTTCCCCTCCTCCCTGCCCTCCTGCCCCACTGGGAAGAGCCTGATGCTGCCCGCGGCCTCAGCCCGCCCTCACCCCCTGCACAGATCTGGGGGGCATATGCCCTCCGTGGCTCCCCCAAAGTTGCATGCAGCGGCAAGAGCTGCCCTCCCACACACCCCACAGACAAGCTGGTTGTGGCTGTGTCCCAGCCCCGCTCCCTCACTGCAGGGGCCTTGATCTGCACCTCCTTTCCTTCCCCCTCCCCTCTCCCCACAGCACCAACTGGGCGCTGCTCTCTAATCTCCAAGGCTGCATATTGGTAAATGATTCAGTATTGGCAGACATGGCTTGTTGATAACGGCCGATTATGGCTTTTTGGCCATCAGTATTGGCCCAGAAAATCTTTATTGGTGCACCCCTATTTCCTGCATCTTGTTATGCAGCACACAAGTCCCTTACAGATCTCTTCTCCCGAATCCAAATTTGAACTGCTTCTCTTGTGGAGGTATGGTTCAGTTGTCAAACACTGCACAGACCTAGTAGATAATAAGATTTCCCAAACTCTTCCTATTGTTCCCTGGCCTCTAAAAATGGTTGCCATTAAATTGCTGTGCCAGCAGCTTGGTCTTATGGCTGCTCTTTCCAATCCAGGTATATTTTGAGACTTGACTTATTAATAAAACTAACCGCTTGTGCTAATTATTGTTTCTTTTCCCTTACCACAGGAGAGAAGCCATATGAATGTTACATCTGTCATGCTCGCTTTACTCAGAGTGGCACCATGAAGATGCACATTTTGCAAAAGCACACAGAGAATGTGGCCAAATTTCATTGCCCCCACTGTGATACTGTCATAGCAAGAAAGAGTGACTTGGGTAGGTATTTCTTAAATGTGTTGATTAACAATGTAAGGTTCTTTTAAACAAATAATGAAGTTGTTTAACTTTGTGGAACAGGAAGCATTTTTTTTAAAAAATCATAGGGCTTTAGTAGAAACTATATTGCATAGGTTATAGAGTCTAGAGTGGTGCAGAATAAGGGACATGTCAGCCTGAATGAAGTTAGCTGTTAATAAAGATTAATTGACTTACAATAGCAGCCAGTTGCTGTGAAGGTATTAGTTACTTCTACACTATTCCAGTATAGCAACATGTTTGCCATGCACACAAAACAGGTCATCAGTCTGAAGCCCATTGACTTAAACAAAAGTAAAACTTTCAGTTCCATATGTTTAAGGCCAGAAGGCTCCTAGGTCATCTGGTCTGATGTCCTGTATATCACAAATGATTTCATTTCACCCAGGTACCCCTTTACCCTTTTTGTGTTAGTCTAAGCATTTCGGCCTTCAGGAAAGTAGGCTGCACATTTAGAGGCAAAGAACAGGAAAGGTAGAAGTGCTGACATTGCCTGATGCTTTTGTATTGGCTGGGAATTGATTTAGTGAGACATGATTCCAACAGGCTGTGTGCAATGGTCAGTGATGGAAAATTGCAGAGGTTCCCATCAGTTGAATTTGTGGGGAGAATTTCTTCATGACCTCAATCTTATGAGGTATTGCTACTCAGCATGCGAGCAAACTACGCCAGATAAGCAAACAGAAAGGATTATCCATACCACCTCAGATCACTTGTCCAACCTGCCTAGTCTCCAGTTCAGCAGTGGCTAATCTCTGCTTCAGAGGAAGGCACAAAAGATACTCCACAACAGATTGCATCTAATTGAACATTGGTGAAGAAAATTCATTTGTGACCCTTGCAGAAAACTATCTGAAACCCTGAAGTATAAAAAAAACTAATTTATTTTATACTTACTGCTCTTCATTAACATGGTTCGTGCAGCTGTGTTCTTCCCTTGTCTGTGAATGGACAGCCCATGGATAGGGAGACTTGCATATTCAAAGGCTAAGATTGTAAGCTCAGAAGGAAGTTTCACAGTATTAAGTATTGCTTTCCCCCAAAACACGCATGTTAACCATCACATTTTCTTCCAGCAGATTGACTAAAGGTTTTTTACTTTCCAGTTTTGTCTTAAACTTAAGTCACAGACGTGGGGGGGGAAAACCCCTCAAAACAGCCCTTTACTTTCAGCTCAGTGCACCCCCACGCCAACCGCAGTGCATGCCCAGAAAATGCATTGCGTTAGTTCGACCCAGCTCACCCAACTTCTGTGTAGATTGAGTACTTCAGCAGGAATTTTTGGTACTTTTATCTAATAGCTAATTGAATCCGCTGTTAGGTAAAAGTGCCTGATCTATACTGAAGCTGGGGAGCTGGGTCAAACTAATATGCTTCCTCTTCCATTAAAGCACTGTTTTGTTCTGGTTTGGTTTGGTTTTTGGGTTTGTTTGTTTTTTTTACATCTGTAAATCTACCCCTTGAGTCTCACTTTGCGGTCATAGGATATTTTTATACCTTTGTCAACAAGTTTGGAAAGATTTTCAGGATCAGGTTTGGGGGGGGGGGTTGTTTATTTGTTTTTATTCTATCTGTTGTTTTATACAGTGACTGCAGTACCTCTATCTTCTCTTCTATAAGCTCTATTACGTTGAGCTCCTTTAGCCTCATACTGTAAGGCTTTTTTTCAGCCTATGGATCATTTTTGTGACTCCTTTGAACACCAGTATTTACATACTAGTTTTTGAAGTCTGGACACCAGTGGTCTTGCAGTGTTGTGTACAGAGGCAAGATCATGTCTCCACTTGTACTTGATAGTCATCTTTCTATAACCACGAAGATTACGTTCACTTTTCTTGTCATAACATTTTACTGAAAGTTCATGTTGAGAATATTGAGTAGTATGGCTCCTTAAATCCTTCCAAGACAGTGGCTGGCACTTTAAAACAATTCATTCTTGACAGTTTGCTTCCTTTGTTAGCCTACCTGGCCTTCTGTATAAGGAGAAAGTGGTAGGTGTGATTGTTGTTGTTGTTTTTGTTTGTTTTTTTTAGGGTATCATTGTGGACCCACCTAGATATCAGATAGTTGCACAATAGTTGAGAAGCCATGCTTGGAATACTTTGTCAAACTAGAAGGACATTTCAAATGGGACTGTTAATGAGTTGTTCCCAATTCATGCCTACAAGTGTAACATTAGCTACTCCTTGTTCACTTAGTCATAACAAAATAGTTTATTTCTACCTAACTGAGAAAAATAAGCTGGCTCAATAAGTCTGAAAGGAAAAATATGCCACCCCAGGAACTAATATGGAGCCATGAACTGTCTTCTCCACATCCCTCTGTTCATATTGGTAATCTTTTTTAGAAGAAATCCCGTAACTGAAGGCAGTTAACATTCACTGTGCCCTGTGGTATGTGGTTCTGACAAGAATCATGAAGTCTTGGTCTATAGCAGGGGTTGTCAACCAGGGGTACGCATACCCCTGGGCGTACTTTGAAAGGTCCCAGGGTGGGTAGGTGGAGACAGTATGCCGCCACCCTGTGCTGCTGCCTCACAGGAGTAGGGCCGGGGCGGGGCAAGAGCAGAACTGCACAAACGCTTGCCATGCCCCTTCTCTCTGTCTGGCTGCTTGCCACCCCCCCGCCTCCCCTCCTCAGGGGTACACTTATTAAAAAAGGTTGAAAACCCCTGGTCTATAGCAACAATAATACCCTAGTAATCTATCTAGTTCACTTCACAGTTGTATGATTTTCTTTTTTTAAAAACATCTTTTTATGTGTGGTTCTTTTTTCTATCTTTCTTATTACTGGCAAAGAGAATGAAAGGGTCAAAGCTAAGAGTTAAAGCAAAGGATCCACCAAAGCCAAAATTTGGCCTGAGGCTCTAGCAGTCTTGTTTTGTTCACTTTATATATACAGACTCCCTCTGCTTTGCATTTTAACTCCTTATTGTCTTATTAAGTAGTTTTTGTGACTTAATCAAAATATATTTAGTCAGATGTTAGTACCTGGGACTTTCCCAACAAATTAGACTTTGCTTTAGAATGGAAATTGATCTTTTCATGAGTAGGAAGAGACACTGTAGAAGGATGTTTTTAATCATGGAGCATGGTACTTTTCAAAGTAACTCCAAAGCAATAAAGTGTAGAGACTTTTGGCTTCAAACCAGATGATGTGAAGAAAGCATCCTCTCCTGAGAAAATAGTTAAGGAATTGTCTCTACCAGTCTTTTTCAAGTATGGAAAATAATAGGTTAAACACTTTTTTTCTTGTGATACTAGGTGTCCATTTGCGAAAGCAGCATTCCTACATTGAGCAGGGCAAAAAATGTCGCTACTGTGACGCTGTGTTCCATGAGCGATATGCTCTCATCCAGCATCAAAAGTCTCACAAGAATGAGAAACGTTTCAAGTGTGACCAGTGTGATTATGCATGCAGACAGGTAAGCCTAGGTGACTCCTGAAAAATCACAATGGCTGCATGAGCAGCTAACTTTGAACAGAGTGAATGGCACAACAAACTATGAGCTAGGAATCGGGATGTTAGATGGGGAGCATGAGCAAGTGGGCTTAACTGCTGCTCCTTGTCGCGTTGAAATCTCGGGGACCTCTACCTCTTTCTTCCTCCCTCTCGCCTACCATGTCTTTGTGAAGCTAGTTCTCGGGAGCTTAGCTGATATCTTGAGTGATGATTGTACAGGTGAGATCAGTCTTCTGCAGGGCTCCACCACCCCCACACCCTGCTCTTTTCCCTTCGGGTGACAAGTCATTTCTTCCTGCTGGTATCGAGTACAAGTCACCAGTTCTTGGATCCTCGCCAACCCGGTTGGCTGTGGGTTTTGTGGGAGGTCGTAGCCATGCCCTCTAGACAAGGTTGCTCCTCCTCATATGTTTCTACCCTGCTTGCAGTAGTTTTCCTTCTCTCTGGGATCAGTGGATCCAGGAGAGATGGAGTCTTTGCTTTCCAGTCCCAGGATTCACATTCCAGTGCTGCTGGGTCTCAGGTGTGGACTCTTGGGCTGGATTAATCAAAACTCAGATGTACAGGGGATCAGGCTTTTCCCCTTGCTATACTTCTCTAACTTGCGATTGCTACCTAAAAACACAAAGGAAATCCAGGACCCTACAAAGCTAGCTGCTGTCAGTGTCCTTTCTGCCCTCTTTCCTGAGAGCATAGTAGTTCTCTCTCTCTCTCGAGCCAATCAGCATGGGCCCTTGGGGCACATGCTCCTTGGGCCAGGTGTGTGGCAAGCCAGCTCCTGTCAGGCAAGTTCCCTCCCCCGGAGCTCCCCCAGAGCACCGTGGCAGCACAGCTCGCTCCACCTCTGCTGGCGAAGATCTAAACCTCCTAGCAGCTTCCCTTATCTTGCTGGGTGACATAGTGCCCCCAGACCTGGCTGGGTACATTTTTTTCTTTTTTTTTCCTTTTACAGAGCTTGCGCCCAGCAGGTTGGGATAGTACTGCTCATCCAAGCCCCACCAGGTGTCTTTTCCCCATCCCCTGCTACAGGGAGCTACTAACTTTGGTAGCTAGTAGCATTAATGCCAATGGATTGTAATCTGTTTAAGGTTAAGAGAAAGTTCAGTGGCTCTTGATAGGCTGTAACCTCCAGAAAGAGGCACTATAAGCTATCTTCTTTAGAAGACAAAAAGAATATGCTTGGTTCAGGACAAATAGAATGTTAGGAGGATGCCAGCATTGAGATAATGCTTCTAGACTAAAATGTTAGTGCTATTCCTCAGTAAAAGAAACTGTAAACCTTTTACATTCATAAACATCAGCTTAGATCATTGTTGCTGTGCATCTTGTTTATTCTTCTGAATGTGTGTGTTCTTTAATAACAGGAGCGGCACATGATCATGCACAAACGTACCCATACTGGAGAAAAGCCTTATGCCTGTAGCCATTGTGATAAAACCTTCCGTCAGAAACAGCTCCTTGATATGCACTTCAAACGTTACCATGACCCCAACTTTGTCCCTGCTGCCTTTGTCTGTTCGAAGTGTGGTAAAACATTCACTCGCAGGGTAAGCAAGTAGAGCATTTTTTTTTTTATTGACCTCCTATAGGGAGAGGAAGGTGGTTCTGTAAAACAGTAAGTGGTAAGGCCATGTTTGAGAGAGACTTGGACATAGCTCTTAATCAGCTTGAGTGAATTCTTTACAGCAGTAATGTTATAAGCAAACTGAAGAAACATTAGGACAAAAGGCAAAATAAGACCCAGGAGTTCAGCTTGTTTTCTGGATGTTAGATAAAACTTCTCTTTAAAGAGGAGTGAGTTTTGAGAATACTACTTGGGTTGTGAATAGAGGCCCACTTACCCAGTTTTGATTTTAGTACTCTTCTTTTCTTTTCCCTCACTAGAACACCATGGCTAGACATTCTGATAACTGTTCTGGCCCAGATGGTGCAGAAGGAGAGAATGGAGGGGAGCCTAATAAGAAGGGTAAACGTGGAAGAAAAAGAAAGATGCGATCTAAGAAGGAAGATTCATCTGACAGTGGTAAGAGCTCTGCTTAACTGAATAGGTTAAATGTACCAAGAATCTTGTGGCTTATAATTAACTATATTCTTCCTACTGATTCTTCACTAATCAAGATCTGTCTTCATTGAAAGTTTATATTTTTAATTATTGTGTATGTGCTTCATTTCACCTGAAAATTTGGTATTAAGTGAATAACTTTTAATATTGCTGACTGAAGTTCTAAAATGACGTGTTCTGCACTGATCTTAGTAGGCCCTCACTATTATGGAATACTGGCATCTATAGCCAGTTGGTATAGTGGTTGGGGTAGAGGTGCATGTTGAGCCTTCTTTCTGGAGAACAGAGTTTTATTATTGATTTTTAGGGGAATGGATGCAGTAGATACAACTTTTAATTTCCTTGTGCAGTAGGTAGATTTCTCTGGTTGTCAGTGGGAGGGGTGATTCTTTACTGTGTATATGGGTAAGGAATGATATTGCTCTGTATTTTTGTGAATTAACAGTTAAACTCATAGTGAGCTCTGAGCTAGTGTGGCTCTTAATCCCTCTTTGTGGTAAATGATGTGAGGGCTTTTGGCCATTGGAGATGAGGTACAGTGATTTGGAAATATTCATTGCCTTAAGTCATTTTAGAATTTCATTTTATGTATAGCACATGGAGGTCTTGGTGAAGACCAGTGTGTCCTGGTGCCCGGGCATAGAATTATTGAAACAAAACAAGCATGGAGTGAGGTTGTGACTTGCAGAAGGTCACTCACCAGGTAGAACCTGTCTCCTGCTTTCCATACTAGCGACTCAATTTTGCTTGAGAATTTGCACAAGTTTGCGTAGAAAAAAAATGTACTAAATCATTGTTCCATAGAATCAGTGTAGCTCTATTTTATTTTCACAAGTTCCTTGAATATGACCAGTTCTCCATTTGAGTAATTGTTCACCTACTTTCTCAATGAGGGGAGGAGAGAAGGCTCGGCCCCTGAGTCTTGAACTAGAGACTTTGCCTTGGCAATACTTGCAGAATGGGCTTCAACATAGCCTTGCTCCCAGGAGATGAAGAGATGGTGTGCATTTCCTACCTGTGCCCCCCTCAGTAACCTGGCTGAAATGCTGCAAGTGCCCCAGCAATCAGTGCCTGCACTATGTCACTAGCCAAAGGCACCTTCCATCAGTGCCTCCTGCATATATTATAATACCTCCATCAGCCAAACCCACCCTACAGAGCTTCCTAGGAAAAGACAGAGCTTTCCAAGCATAAACAGTCTTCCAGTTTTCCAGTCTTCCCTCTGTTGTAAGTCATCCAACATACAAAGCTTTTGGTGTGGTTGAGAGCTCTGGTAATCCCATGTAACCCTTCTTTCAAACAGCCTGTCCTACCTTTGAGATTCATAGAGCAGGATAACCGCAGGTTATTAGGGCTTGGAAACATTTCACCAGTGGCTACGCTGCCAGATTTGCTGTCATACCACCTCCAAATCCCCCATAAATGTCCCTTTTCAGGGACCCTTCTCACAAGAGTGCTGTAATGGCAAGTCCCTGTCCTGCCAATGACCAGCTGAATGTTGGCACCATCAGGGCTGCCTCAGTGCTGCCAACAATCAGCTGATCAGCAGTTGGCAAGGACTGCACTGGGGCTCAAGCCCTAGTGCAGTCCCATGCTGCCAGTGATCAGCTGATTGTCAGCATCCATACAAGCCCTGTTGTAGTCCCAGATTCAGTTGACAGTTGGCAGATTGTCTGCTGTTGGGAACTACTGGGGCCAGTTGGAGACCCTGGCATGGTCTGTTCTGCCTCCTGTTCATTCAAGTCACAATAGAAACCAGGCACAAAATTATTACACAAAAAGGTGTAATAATTATGTGGCTAGTTTTGTATTTTGTTGTGTCATTTATGCCTGAACACGTGGTCAGGTTACACTTAGGATGAGATTAACTGGTTAATCATGTTTTAAGTGTAGTGTATGCCAAGGTTTTAAGGCATTAACTTAATTTATAAACTTTTTCAGGACCTAAAGGAGGTTTTTGTAAGTTGTTATAAATAATAAAACTTACCACTGCACTCTGAATTTTTTCATAACTAATGTACTCAAAATATTCCAATGTTTTTTCTTAATTGAATGAAATAGAGTTTTTAAATCAAGCTTTTGAAAGATAGTTTTTCAAAGGTAGATTTTACTGTTGAATTAAGTGAGGTCCAAAGTATTTATTGTGCCACCTAAAGAGCAAAGTCCCAGAATAATATGCTCTTCAATTTGTGTAGATGCAGATATTTATCAAAAATTGTAATGCACTAGTACACACTTTATTGGAAGAGTAGTTAATTTAATGCAGGGCTGCCCAACTTCTGAGGGGCAGGAGGCTTGTGTGTGTCACTGGGTGCCCCTTGCAGCATGCCCTCGTGTGCCCCATTTTTGTTGCAAAGAACTCAGACCACAGCAGGTCAGAATGTTTTTGACACTGGATTCCTATTTGAAATCTCTGGGTTTATCTTGTGAATTGCATAGATGGTTACACCCCATGGCATACCCTGAAAAAGACTATGCAGCACTCTGGTTGGTAATCGCCGCTTTAGACTCAAAGCATAAGAAACTTCTCAACCACAGTGCCTGGCGGGGAGCAGGGGTGTCTAGAGGAGACTTCCCTAGGTCTCTCCCAGCCCTCCGTTTGCTAATGGAGCATGGTAACTAGTGAAGATTCCCATTGATAGCCATCTCTGAATTTGAATCAAGCCCTGCTCTTCCCTTTAGTTGGAAAAATGTTTCATGGTGACAATTGTTGCTACTGGACATGGGGTCAGACCTTCTTTTTCCTGCTTTGCTTGATGATGTTTCCAGCCTTCTAAGGTGAGAATATCCCAGTATTAAGAATGCCTGCCTTAAACTCCTCACCCCTAGTACTTTTGTTTGCCTTGTCTACCATCAATGTTTACTCTCCAAGGATGACTGTAGGGAAGTGATTCTTTCTCAGAATGAAGAAGAGTGTTGTTCTTTCTCTCCATAGGGAGACTTTGTTGATATTTTGCTCCTATATAAACTGAAAGCTTTCTTCATTCATTTTCTTTTTTTAAAAGAAGAAAATGCTGAACCAGATCTGGATGACAATGAAGAAGAGGAGGAGACAGCAGTAGAAATTGAGGCTGAACCAGAAGTGGAGCAAGTGGCCCCTGCACCACCTCCTGCTAAGAAACGAAGAGGAAGGCCACCAGGCAAAGCCAACCAACCAAAGCAGCCCCAGCGTAAGTTGCTGCCTGAGCTCCAAAGTAGGCATCCAGGTTAATAAGCTTCTTGGAGGTCTCCCTAATGAAGGGTTTTCACTCACTCTAATGGAGCTGATGACTTTTAACTGTGTGTGTGCTGTCTCTTACTCTTACTGAGATACCTTTGCCCACTTTCAGGGCACAGTGCAAGTCTTCTTGTATGTGAGTTTCTTGAGAAACCTGTAAAGCTGACCTGTTTGAGACCAGCACCAAGAAAGGAGAGGAGGAAAGTTGCCTTTCCTTTGTGGGTTAATATACTTTAAATCAGGGCTGTTTAACTTCTAAGTCTCCAGGGGCCACACATAGCACAGGCCACACCAGGTGAGCCAGGAGTTACCAGGCTGTTCAGACATCCCCACCCCTTGCTACTCTGTGCTGCTGTGTGGGCACCCCATCCCCTCTCTCACTGCTGCACCAGGCACATTTGCACTTCTCTCTCTGCTTTCCATCACTGCTGCACTGTGTGGGCATGATGCCCCCCTCTCCTGTTGCTCTGCATGTCTGTGCAAGCACCTCTCCCACCATTGCACTGGGCACCATCCCTCCCACTGGTGCCCCCTGGGGGCACTGATCCACCCTTGCAGCCCAGATTCACCCTCAGCTCCCTGGCTGTAGCACCAGGGACAGGAGGCAGCAGCCAGAGGAAGGAGAGGGAGCCCAGATACCCTAGTTGCTGTTGCAGCTGGAGCAGTGAGGGGAGCACCAACTAGGTGAGAGCAGAGGGGGGTACAACTTGTGGCTATATGTTGCCTGTGGGCCGCCAGTTTGACAGCCCAGCTTTAAATCTGTGTAAACTGCTTCCAGATGCCATGGGAAAATGCACGTTAAAAGCCTTATAATAATAATTCAGGTTATAAAGCAACATAAAATGGTCCAGATTATGTACTCCACCAGCCCCGTGAAGCTCAGCCTGGCGGCGGGAGGTGGAGGGAGAGTCAGTGACAGAGCCTCTCGGAACACTACCCTGGCCAGTGGCTATCTCCTGCCTCCTGCCACCACGCCTGGGGCCAGTGGCAGCACCAGTTTTCCTGGCGCTGGGTGCAGACTGCGCCCAGTGCTGGTCCCAGGCAGCAGCGGCAGCCTTCTGTCATCCCGAGCACAGATCCTCCCAGGGGTGAGGGCCCTCGGAATTCAGCATGGCCCTCCCAGGCATACAAACCCTCATATCTGCAGGCGGGATAACAGGAGGCTGCTGTTGCCGGCAAGTGACACCAGTTTTGCTTTTAGCAGTTTGAGGTGCAGTTTCCCAGAAGCCCCTGCACCTATCTCCTTGAAAGTTGATAGGTTGCATATCCTCAGAAGGGGCTACCATCCATGCAGTGTTCATACAAATCAGGCACAAAATGACAAAGTTATAGGCATTTTCATGATTTCCCATTATAGCCTATGGGTGAAACATCAAAACGCATCCAAACAACGAAACAGTTTTGACAAAATGGAACAGTGCTTCGAAACTAAACGAAATGACAAAACGAAACACTGTCCCTTTGAAACAGCGAAACAGAAGTTGAAATGAAACAGTGCTGTTTCTCACAGCCCTACTGATCACCATGTGAATACACAGAGACGGTCTCTTACCTTAACATTTTAAGAATAAAGAGCAGTAAAAATATTATATGGCATCCAAAGAAAAATTATAATTAGAAACCCAAGTAGTAGGGTGAACCTCCTCACCTATTCAAGAAGTACTGCTACCTTACTGGTCTGCAGGATACTGGAGGCGTCAGATGGCCTCTGGCAAGGTCTCTGGTTCCAGTGGCTAGATGTTTACACTGTGTTCATCACTGCTGTATGAGTAGAGGTTTATAGTAGTGCATTCACATCAGTTAGGAGATGGCAGTGTTGAGTTAACATACATCTAAGCAATTACTACAGTCTTGGTTAAATAATGTTTGCCATGTCTCGGATGCTGTCTGGTAATGCAGATGCATGTAGAGGCTGCTGCAAGGAAATAGGATAGAGCACAGTCATGATTTTTGGAAGACTGGCAGACAGGTCAGATTTTTGGCTGTAGGAAGCAGTTGAACCAGTCTGCACTGCAGATGGCATAGATCTCCATTGCTTCCCACCCACACCTTCAAAATGCAGGCACGGAATGGATGAATATGCCCATGATTGAGACTTACTATAAAGTCATAGAGAAATAGGGAATTGGACCTCTATAGGTCATCTAGTCTAGCCCCTTGCCTCAGGCAGGATCATCCCTATCCAAATCATCCCATACAAATTCATTATCTAACCTATTAGCAAAACTACACCAAAACTACAGTCAATCCTGACACGCCCACAAGACTTAACACCCCATCTTGCCACATGTAAAGCAAGGGGACTGCAGCAGCCAATGTCCTGCTGCTGTGAAGGTTGTTTAAAATACTCCTGAGAGATCTAACGAAAAATCCCCTGCTATGAAGAAAAGCAGCACCCCCCACCCCTCGAGTCTATACCAATCTGACCATGGGGTAAAATTCGTTCCTGACTAAATATTTGACCCTGAGCAGAGGGCAAAACTCTCCAGCCAGAAACTTCTGGTTTTGCATCCCAGCAGTTGCACTGTTCTCCTTGCCCTTGTCCTTTCTTGCAGTGAGTTCAGACAGTATGAAAACACTGCAAAGGCATTTTGGGCCCTGTTTTATGTGGTTAGGTGGATTTTCTAAAAAGATATAACTTCAGATTCTGTAATAAATTGTTTTGTGAAGAATTAAACATTTTCTAGCATGCATGCAGCCTGCCTGTAGGATTGGTGAGATCTGTTTTGAACTCTTTTCTCTTTCCTTTTAGCTACAGCAATCATTCAGGTTGAAGACCAGAACACTGGTGCAATTGAAAACATTATAGTTGAAGTAAAGAAAGAACCTGATGCAGAAACAGTAGGAGAAGAGGAGGAAGCTCAGCCTGCTGTAGTGGAAGCTCCCAATGGAGACCTCACTCCCGAGATGATTCTCAGCATGATGGACCGGTGATGGAGGAAAGGCCACGCGTGCTGACTGAACTGGCCTGGGCTGTGTTTAAGCGGCTCAAATCTATTTTTCCTTTTACCTTTTCTTGGCTTTGGGAAATGCATCATTTTAGACCATTTTACCAAACATACTGGGAAATAAAACTTCAAAATGATGTTAGAATGTGATTTAACTAGAACTTGCTGTTTTATGTTAGCATTACTACAGGATCATGGAACATTAGGAAATATTTTGGAGTCCTTGAGGGTTTCCTCAGATGCTTGGTTTTTGATCTGAACTGCATTGTAATGATGGTCCAAGGACAGTGTTTACATGCAACAAGTTTTAATAATACAAACGTGGAAAAGCAAAAGCCCAGACTAAAGTAATGTGGTAAACCACTCCGGACTTGTCCATCCAGTTCCCAGAGTCCTCCAGCCTTCTTCTCCCAGTAGTGTTTTTAACTGTAAATGCAGACTTGGGAAGGTTCTAGACTTTTAAAATGTTTTTGTTTTTGCTTTTCCCCACTGACTAGCTCCGGTTCTCCAAGTCGGCTGCACACGGTAGTTTTGGCATGCTCCAGCTGGTTTCTGTCCTTAATATGCTTTGCTTTCTGCAAAGCATTTCTGTAATGGTCAAGCTTGTAAATAACTTTTTTTTACATTTTAATCTTTTTTCCATTAATTAAGAGGTATGAAAAATGCAGTTTCAGTAAACCCCAGTATTTTAATTACTTCCAAATGAAGTGACAAGAAAATTGGTGGAGTGTAAATGTTGGAAAACCCATTGACAACCAATCATGTAGAGGAGAAAAGTACCCAAACTATTTGCTTGCTGAACAACAGAAACCCACACGCGAAACCAGGTTACAAAGCACGTGGAACTGGCATTTGAAACATGTATAATTCCCTTCTTTTCAGTTATACCTTCACGACTACATTTTCTTTGCTCTATTTTGTAGTTGTATTTTGTGTTTATGAATCCAATGTTAAGACAGAAGTGGTGATTTTTGTATTTGGGTCACTGCAGCCCTCAACCTGGGCCAGGAAATTTTACTAGGTCAGTAATTATAAAATTTTGGATCTCTAATGAAAAAAAAAAAGGAATAATGTGAAATACAAATGATGCCTGTATATGAACTGTCACATGTTTAAAATATGTAAGCTTTTTATAGAGCCTCAGTCTTGCTGATTTCAAACAAATTTTTCTTCTATGTATCGCTTTTAAAAGAGCTATCAGTTTAGCTATCAGACTCTAGGTTGATGCATTTTTGTACTTAGCTGTACTGTGTGATATTTTTCATTATTTTAGGAAGCCAACATGAGAAAAAAACTGTTATAAAATATGTAATGGGGTTTGAAAAGCTGAGAAGGAGAATATACTGCTGTACAGCTAATAAATAATAATGGATTAACATGCATGCTCACTGACTGCTTTCTTTGTACTGTGAAACCATTTCTCCTTAAACTCCCAAGCTGTTCTGTGGCTGACTTAGGAAAGATCTTTCCTCCAACTGGAAGGGCCCTAAGCAAACTGCAAATCTGGAATTGCCACGGGTACCATGCACAAGAAAGCATTCTTATTTTAATCACGTATAATATGTTGGTGGGAATGTTGCTGCTAGAGAAAGTTGACAAACTACTTATGTTAGAGAGCAGTGCTGACAGTATCAGTTGCATCTGTTCATACAGACAGTGATGATTTGGCTTGTAATCTATTTTCTCAGGTAGTACATTTAGAGATCTTTAGTTGGTGGCTAAAATATTTAGTTAAAGCCCAATCTGTTTCCCAAAAGGAATGCAAAAGTAAATTTGTATCTGCCTCCTACCCTGCGCTCTCCACTGTTTACATTTTCTTTGTTTTATTGTTAGCTCTGAGAACTTCTAAAAAGAGGATTAGGGAGTTCTGACTCTAGCAGTCTGGAAGGTACAAGCAGATTGCATGGTTAAGCAATTTTGTGCAACAGCTTTTACACAGATAGCTTTGCATAATTGTAATTGCTACATATGGAGGTCAGAAATCTTTCTACACAAACACGTTTTTCAAAATCGTAAGTGGGAATTGTTTCATGCTAGATTTCAAATAGCAGTTAGGTGCCCAACACAGAGGTTGTGTCAAGGTGCTAGTTTACGGGGACAGATGTACCAGGAAATGGGCCTGTTTATGGGACAGATGCGTCTCTGACTGCAATGTCTTGGTTAAGGACCATCTTGCCCCTCTTTCACCTTCATGATCTTCCTGGATGTGCCCTCTCAGACAACATGACGCTTGTATTCTTTGGGAAGAACCGTGATTCTCCCACTCTGGGCCAATGGCTGCAATACACTGTATTAGTCATGCTCACCCAGCAAGTTAGAATGGACTTGTCACATGTGGTTCTTCACTTTGGGGAATCTGACCAGTGAGAAAAAATAATAATATTAATTTAGCATTACAGGCCCTTAGCTGCTTCTGCAATTTTCATTCATTCCCAGCTGTAGTGTGCCTTCACCCTGCAATCATCCACATTTAATTTATGTAGGTCTGACACCATGTCATCTCACCATCTTTGTCTTGGTTGTCCAGGTGGCCTTCTCCCCTCCAGCACCCTGAGGAGCATTTTCTTTCATGTTCTAATTGATTCTGTTCCTTCAGTGTAGGCCAGCCACTGTAGGCATTGTGCTGATTTCGTGTCTCAGGGTTGGGTCCCTGTACAGTTAATACGACTCATTATTGGTTCCTGTGTGCCATTCTAGTGTTATGGAATCATACTCTGTACCAAAGATTTTTCTGTAAAATCTTCCTTTCAAAATGATCTAGTAGTATCTTGTTGGCTTATGCAAGAACCAAGGGTTCATTGCCATAGATTATACATGGCCTGAATGTTTTTATAAACTTGAAGCTCAGTTTTCCTTGGGAAGAGCTTTGGTGACACAAGCTTGTGCAATGCGAAATAGGCTCTGTTTCCTGCCTCCATTCTTTCTTTAAAGTAACTATCTCTCTTAAACTACATCTTGTGTAATCTTTGTTGGATCAAACCATGGCATAAGAGAGGGTATTTTACCATATTTTCTCCCATACAATACACATCCTATTTTTGGAATTGCCCCAAGAAAGATTAAAAAAAAAAAATTCTTACCAGGGTCAAGCATCGGCTGGGGGCTCCATGCTGGGGCCCCATCTAGCATGTCAGCTCTGGGGCCAAGCAGCAGGGCCTGTCCAGCACATTGATGTTGTATCTGCATAGTGTACTCCATCCAGCATGCCAAGCCAAACATAACAGGTTTAGGAGTCTGTGCTGGGTCAGTATGCTGGGGCTGACTGTATACCAGCCCCACCTGCCATCTCATTCCAGCATGCTGTTGGAAAGGAAGTCTTGCCACAGGTCCAGGAATTTGGTTGATGGGGAAGGAAGAGAGAGTGTGGCAACATTAACTGCTGTGACTTCCAGAATCACGGCAGTGTTGCCACCACTCTATGCCCCATCCCAACTCCTGGACCTGTGGAGAGCTCTTTTCCTCGCATATAATACATGCCCCAGTTTTCCCCAGCTGTTTCTTTTGGAGGGGAGAAGTGCAAGGGGTTTTTTAATTAAAATACAGTAAAACACCTGTACAAACCTTTCCCTTCATTGTGATGTCCCTTCTATGCTGATGTCCTAGACTTACTGTTCAAAGATTTTTGTTGGGGTTTTTTTCCTGAACCGTAACCTAAATATGCTTTACTTCTGTTTAGACTAGTGTTGGGAATGTTTTTGTGCAGAGTGCCAAAACCCCCACAACCTCTATGTGTAACATGTTGGTGTGCCAGGGGCAGATGGTGGGGGAGCCGCAAGGGGCCTGGTCCTTGTAGTGGCAGCACAGCCTAGGGCCCCTCCCCCACCATCCACCTGGAGTTGTGTGCACCCCCACTGGCCAGCAAGGAGCTGGGCTGGGGCTCTGCGGACTGCAGTGGCGTTGCTTGCAGCCTTCTTGCTGTCTCGTGAGCAGCCTGGGCTTCATGGCCAGTGGCATGGGCCTGCCCAGAACCCAGACTGGCTCTGGCAAGCAGGTAAGAGGCTACAAGTGGATGTACTGGGGTATGCAGAGCTCCAGCTTGACTTGCTGCTGGCATCGGGTGCACCAATGCCTCAGGCAGATGGCAGGGGAGCTGCAAGGATCCCAGATCTTTGTGGCAGCACAGCCCCATCTCATCCTACTTCATCCACCCCAAGGCATGCGTACACCCACCACCATTAGCAAGCTGGGCCAGGCCTCTGCCTACCCCAGTGCAGCTGCTTTCAGCCTCCTGGCTGCCTGCCTGCCACAGCTGGCCCAGACTCAAGGCAAGCCCAGGCTGCTCACAGGAGGCAGCAGGGAGGTGTACGCAACTCCACCGGGGTCTGCAGAGTCCTGGCCCAGCTTGTTGCTGGCAGTGGATGCAAGCATACCTTTGGGCGGACAATAGGGAAGGGGCTGGGGCTGCGCTGCCAAAACAAGTATTGTGCCCCTTGTGGTTCCCCTGCCATTTGCCCTAAGGCATGTGTGCCAAACAAAATGCTTCTACATGTCATGCTCTGGCACGTGTGCCAGGGCTTGCTAGACCCTGGTTAAAACCCTTTGTCTCTGTCTTGCCCTGTGGCAAGGAGGAATAGTTGTTCTTACTCTTCTTTATGGTAGCCTTTCAAATATTTGAGAACTGCTATCATGCCCTTCCTTAATCTATTTTTTTGTTGCAGAAGTAGTTCTTTAAACACTTCCTCCTGCAGCTTGCATTCCAACCCTTTTACCAACTCTGTTTCTTGTCTTTTGATCTTCTCCAGTTTCCTACATCCTTAAAATGTATGTTGATGTTTGCCAGAATGAGATGTTTGCCATCTGAGGCCCAACCAGTACTGTGTCGAGTGGCATTAACGTTTCCCGTCTTGCGTATAGTATTTCCCTTAATGCTGCCTAAAATTGCACTTGCTTTTTCTGATTCAGTATTGCATTACTGACTTAAGTTTGCAATCCATTTTAACACTAGGTCCTCCTCAGGAGTGCCAGTGCCTAACCACGTATTCCACATTCTTTGTTTGCATTTTGTTTCATCTTTTGTATAGCTCCTTACATTGGTCTTTTGTTGAATTTCATTTTATTGTCTAGTGCCCAGGGCTGTTTGTACATGCCACAGGGGTTTACTTCGGTTCAATTCTCCTTAGATTTCATATTTCATAGACATTAGGGATGGAAGGGACCTCAAAAGATCATCAAGTCCAGCCCCCTTGCCCAGGGGCAGGAAGTCAGCTGGGGTCAAAGGATCCCAGCAAGATAAGCGTCCAAATGCTTCTTAAAGGAGTCCAGAGTAAGTGCCTGTACCACCTCTGGCAGCAGTCTATTCCAGGCCTTGGGGGCTCAGACAGTAAAGAAGTTTTTCCTTATGTCCAGCCTGGAACGGTCTTGGAGGAGTTTGTGACCGTTGGTCCTTGTCATCCCTTGGGGTGTTCTGGTGAACAGACGTTCTTACAGATCCTGATGAACACCCCTGATATAGGCTGCCACCAGATCACCCCTGAGCCTGTGCTTTTCCAGGCTGAAGAGTCCCATGGCTCTCAGCCTGTCTTCATAAGGCCTATTCTCCTGCCCTCTGATCATGCGTGTGGCTCTCCTTTGAACTCTCTCAAGCTTCTCCACATCCTTCTTGAATTGTGGAGCCCAGAATTGGATGCAGTACTCCAGCTGCGGTCTCACCACGGTGGAGTACAGTAGGAGGATGACATCCTGAGATTTACTTGAGAAGCATCTATGAATGCAAGCCAGAGTTTGGTTTGCTTTACCAGCTGTGACATCGCATTGGTGACTCATTTTCATTTTGTGGTCAATCATGACCCCCAAGTCCCTTTTGGCCTTGGTGCTAGTGAGCGCAGCACTGCTGAGCCTATAAGCATGCTGCTGATTTTTTTCCCCCAAGGTGGAGTACCTTACATTTGTCAGTATTGAAAGTCATCAGGTTTATATCTGCCTACTTCTTTAGCCTATCCAAGTCAGCCTGGATTACCAACATATCCTCCGGTGTGGACGCTCTACCCCAATGTTTGGTGTCATCGGCAAACTTGGCCAGTCTACTTCTGACACCCAGTATACATGTTGTTGATAAAGATGTTGAACAGGATGGAGCCTTGGGGGATACCACTGGTCACGGAACGCCATGATAATTCACTTCCATCGACCACCACTCTCTGAGTTCAGCCTCAGAGCCATCGGACTGGGATGTAGCTGAGACCACAGTTGGCCAATTTTTCCAAGAGGAGATAATGGGACACCAGATCAATGGCTTTTTTTGAAGTCCAGATATATGACATCAATCTCTTCACCCTTGTCCAGGTGATACGTCACCTGGTCGTAGAAGGAGATCAGATCGGTCTGATGAGATTCAGTTTTTAAAAACACCACTTCAGTTTAGGGCGAAGTAAACCCCCATGGC